GCAATAATTGGTGGAACTACCAAGTTAAGCAATAGACATCCCACATTAGAATGTTACTTCTCAAAATAAGAAGTCCACGCATGATATAGATAATCATACATAGACTTAGGGGACTATCGTTATGCTTCAAAATCGAAGCTCAAGAAGAAGTCCACTCCTCAACCTAGGCTTAAGAGGCCCTAAAGTCGAAGCATTGTGTAAGTGGCCGAAGCCCACATTACAGAAGCAGAAGTCTCTTAACCATAATGGAGCATCTTCGATATTCACTTCTTCCAAGAGATCTTTTACATAAAGATCTTATTTGGATGATTGATGTGACCTTTGTAATGAGTATAAATATTTTGTTTTGTCAATAGGATGACTGCTATGTATAAGAACATTAAATGCGTCACAGGTAGGGCCGCACAAAAAAATCGCGAAACCACAAATCGAATCAAAATCGTTGGTTCAGTTTCACGTGGACCCATGATTTTTTTCCTCAAACTGAACCAAACTTTTTCAAAATGGTTTGGTTTGGGTTTTGATTTTCAAAAATAGCACAAAATCGATTTGAACCATTTTAAATATTTTTAATTAAAAATTTAATTTTATTAACTTAAAATTTAACAGGTTTCACTTCTTTAAAAAAAATTACCAATTTAGCAATACAAATTACAACTAACCTATTTGAAATAATCATAAAAAGCATATTATGTTCATCCTTATTGACATATGATTTAACGGGTTTACAATACTTGTCCTTACTCAATATCTAAATTAAACTAAAATTATTCCAAAATCATATGAAATGAAAAAAAGCATATATTCGCAACAATTCAAATCATAATTCTATTCGAAAACCATAACATAAACTCTCATTTTCCTAACATTTAACATTTGTCTATCACTACCGAACGAATCTCAGTCGCCTTTGCCTGTTGGTTTACTAATCTCTACCTGAATCGTTTCTTTTCTCACTCGCAAAACGAAAAGAGTTTTAACCAACCTATAATAACAGAATGGAACTCCACCTTTACCAACCGCTACATAATGATATGACTGTCAAACAAGAAATGTAGATAAAAATAAAAAAAGATGAATTTGTTCTATCAACATCTTTTAGCAACCAACTTTTAAAATAATTTTTTCATGGGTTTTATGATAAATATGAATGTACTTTAACATTTAACATTATTAGTTCTCGTTTAGACTTATATTAAAGATATTACTATAATGTCGAAAGGTAAACCACGGATTAAAACCGAACCAAACCACAAATTATGGTTTGGTTTGGTTTGAAAAAATTTCAAACCGCATAAAATGGTTTGAGTTGAAAATATAATACAATTCGCCCAAATCAAACTGCGTTCACCTCTACCCATAGGCTAGGAAGTCAAAATGATGACTAGAATTAGATACTTTGGTTGAGAAAATGAAGCCACGTGGCTCCTCAATTACTCGACACCATCTCATGTGTAACACTATAAATACCCCTCCTCTTGTATCATTTGGGGAGGAATGCAACTATTGACCAAACATTACTTTGTCGTCTCACTAGTTGATGATACACTCGCTTAAATTGAATTTGGAATATTTTGATATCTTAGAGTTGTTTTATCGATTGTTAATTACAGCACAATCGTTCCCGAAAATATTATTGAAATTCGAACATATTTGTCTTGTGTCATAAAACTTCTCCCACATCCAAACTCGGAGTATTGTCGACTGTCAATCCGTTCATACATGTTGGGAATTTGTCTACATAGACCTCAATGGACCCCGATCTTTGTTGGCACTTTTTTTGAGGTCAACAATAGGAATACAAAGAAATATAATATTTGGAGTCTGTTTGAGCCTTATTATTATTTTCTTTTTCAAAATGCATTTTGGAATAATATTTTGATAGATAATGTGAGATTAAAAAATAAGAAAAAACTTTGAGATTTGTATGTAATATTATTTTATTGAATAATATGTGGTTAGAATGGAAAATGAGCTCGTAGGCTCGTATTGCCCACGGCTCAACTCGAAGAAAGATTGAATCGACCAACTTGAGGCTTGGACCAATCCCAAATTTCGAGACTTTGGCTTGAGTCTAAGACGAATTATGAAACAGGCCGAAAAATGGCCCTTGTTAATGGAGCTGCTTGATGGAAAGATTCAATAGATTAAGAGCCTGTTTGTGAGTAATTTTGAGAATTGATTTTTTGACCGTTAGGAGAAAAGTGGGGTCCACTTGTGAGAGAAAAAGTCAAATATGACGGTTGAAATAGTGAAATAATGATCAAAAAAATTAATTTTTTGGGTGAAAAAATTGCTCCCAAACAGGGCCTAAATCAATCGATGACGTGGCTAAATAGAAGCTATATGGTACATTGTGCAGGAAAAGTGGATTCTTTAATGTTGTCACTTGTCATTGGTCAACCTAAAATGTTGCTACAAATTGTAGATTTTCCACGAAAATGGTCTCATTTTTATTTGAGTGAATATTATTTTCTTACACTATTTAGTCACTAGTTTCAAGAATAAAAATAAAATAGTTATCTAATTGTCACAATCCCAATTTAGTCATTTAACTTTACGTATAAATATTTCAAAATTTTATATACTTTGTGAAGAGAGAAAACTTTTGACTATTTGTAGAGTATAGAGTAGGCAAGCAACAATAAATATAAGATGGTTAACAATTTTCTTATATACTTGGTTACTTTGCAAAAAGTATATTAGAGACTAATAGATATATAAAAGTTACACAACAAAAGTTTTCACTACACAAAAATTGCACTACGCAAAAGTCGCACTATACACCATATCTTACTATCATAACCAACCGATTTGTACTAATATTTATACTACATATCAAAGACCACCGGGACACATTATTTCTCTAGGAAAATCATTTGAAAATAAGTACGTCATAATAGTGGCCTCGAAGTAGTCAACATAGTAATGAGATCCTACAAAGTGATGGAAACCCAAAAATTATGGATACGTCATCCATGTGTGGACTTCCTTGACATACATGCAATAATGGCCATCTTTTGAAGTCATCAATTCACCCGAGGTAAAGTCTATTCGATGGTGATCATCTACAAGAAAATAAAATAATGTGAATAGATTTATTCAGTGAGTAATTTCTACTATAATCTTTCTTTAATTTGAATAAGAAAAGAAAACAATAGGCCCCAATTATAGATGTTCAATCCTACCCGTGCGTGCAATGTGAAAATAACAATATATGAGATCATTAGTTGATTACACCACTTTGGTGTAAAATCAATAATATCAATCATTATCCAATGTAATGCCATTATTCAATGCAATGTCAATATCAATGGGTAGAATCTTGGATCTATAATTGATTTGAAAAGCAAGAAGTAATCTAATGAACATAATTGCAATAAATATGTTTGAAATAAAAATATGCATAGAATACTCACCTTCAAGTTGCAAGACAATTAAAGTGCTATCTTTATAAAATTACTTGACTTTGGTTTTTTTTTTTTGTTTTTTGTGTGCATTTCCATTTCTCTCCTTCTCCCCTATTTATATTATTAATTTAGAATTAAATTAATAATTAATTTATTTTTCCTTAATCATTATTTTGTCACCTTTTACCATATTATGTTATTTGTTATTGTAGTATTTAGAGTGACAAAGTCATTTATTGAGAGTAGCCACCTTATACCATTTGTCATTTTCATATTTAGAGTAACAATGTCATTTATTGAGAGTAGCCACCTCATTTTCCTTAATTTTTTTTCACATGATTTTTAACCAAAATTCTTTTTATAAGCTTATAATATTATTAATTTTTTTTTTTACTATGTTACATGAAATATACATCACAATACAAGTTATGAATATGCATTATAAACTTACTGAAGTTTTGGGATGTCACACTAATATTTTCCAATTATAACATATATGTTTAAAAATTATAAAAAAGGAATGCACAAGCCAAAAAAAATTATAAAAATTATTTTTTGACTATGTTGATTGTAGTCGGTTCCAAGTTCGAAAAAAAGGAGAATTTTAACTTTTACTTAATCTACAATTAATATAAATTGTACAAAATTTGCATTGTTAAAAAGATTTTAAAAATTCAAGAATAAAAAAAAAATTTAAATCGTGAGCCGGCCTTGCTCGGGCAAAAAAGCCTGAGCTTTTTGGCCGAGCCTCACACGAGCTGACTCGGTTTGGCTTAGCTTGATTCGATGACACTTAATTGAAAATAAAAAAGAGAAAAATATATTTTGAAAATAATGAGAACCAAACAAGGGCTAACTTGAACTCAACTTTTACATTTTATTTTGAGAAAAGCTAGAAATTAATTTTTAATGGTTCTCAAGGTTTGCCTTTTGTTTTTGTGTGGACTCATTTTTTCTTTGCATTAACTTGACATTTTCTAGTAATTAGCTATTCGGTCACTTATATAAATTCTATTAAATTCTATTAGCTTTAATAAAAGAAGTAGAGGACCATTATTCATGTCACACTAATTACTTTTTCATATGTTCGATTAGATATTCTCTTAAATTACTAAGAGTCCATTTGACAGAATTTTTTAAAAAGCTAAAAGTTGAGACCAAAAAGTTGCTTTTGAATATATCTGAAATTTTCTAAAGTGCTCTATTTGATTAGAAGAGTTTTTAGAAAAAATTGATTTAAGATAGGTTTTTTAGAAAGCTTTCTTACGAGAAGTAGAAATCCTATCAAATGGACTTTAACCTTCATATACTTATATTGACAAATTAAGTGCTTTTGTGAGAGATTATAGTAAAGAGTAGTGTCTTCAATGAAATATACGAATAATAAGTAGATAGTAAGTGTGAATGTTTAGTTAAAATTGATTTTGACTTCATATTATTAGAAAATTATAATTCACTATATGCACTAAATTAATAATTAAGTAGAAGTAAATTTGTTTAATAAAGTAAAATAAAGTTTATGACTAATCTGAACTTTTGCTGCAAGTTGAGTGACTGACCGTCAAAAAGAGACTTGTAAGCATATAGACAGGCAAAAGCGTCAAAAATCAACGAATCTGTCTCTCATCTCAAATCGTCGTTCTCAATCTGTCTCCGGCGTTCGCTTACTTCAGACCACGCTCGCGGAATTTTTCTGAGTCTAGCCGATCTATAATCAAATGGCATCTTGATTAGGTTAAATATTCAATATCGCCCTTTATTTTTTATTTTTTGAAGTATTAATTCTTATGCTAATTCTTACTCGTTTATTCGTTTAATCAGATAATCCGATGGAAAAGAAACTAATAAGTAGTGTATAGAGTGGAAAATTGGAGAATTGTATAGCTAAAATGTAAAACCTCGTATGTATTTTATTTTGGCTGAGTCTCTAATCAGAATATTACAAAATAGAATCTTCTTTGACAAGCTTAATTTTAGAGATAGATTTTTTGGAGATCTGAAGATTTATGAGGAATTTAACATTTAGTAGTGATATTTATAGTCGAGAATCTATTTGACCTGCTTGTTTTGCAGGGGTTTTGTAAGGTTGCGCCTGTACCGAGAAGCCATCGGATCATATGAAGTGGTTACCTGGTTGTCTGGGGGGTGATTCAAATGTACAGTCGCTATTGCATTTTCTTGGATTTTCCTGTCGAATTATCAAGGTTAGTAGGAATTTTTATGATTTCATCTATTTTGTTTTTGATATTGACCATTTTATAATTTTGATTAATTATTTTTTCTATGTGCATTGAGATGAATGTTATTGAGTATTATTGGATTATTCATTTTGTCTGGATTTTTTGGGCAGTTGAACACTTTCAAAACGAATTCTTTTAATCAAACTTTTGTGATTGCTTTGCTTTGGAGTTCTGTAAACTGTTTGGAGGGCTACCATGGCTGAAGGAGATGATTGCGTTGAGCTGAAGTTTAGAATCTTTGATGGGACAGATATAGGTCATGGAACCTACTTTTCGTCCACTACAACCGATATTCTTAAGCAAAGGCTTCTAGCTGAGTGGCCTCAAGGTTAACATTTTGCAACTCTAGTACTTGAATTAATCTTTATGAGGCATAATGTTTGATAAGTTCTCTTATTTATGTAATGTGATAATTAGTACTTTTTGCTCCCTAAGTAGATGATATATTGTACAGTTGTTATGCACTTATGCTGCCCATATATTTTTATATTTTGATTGGAGACACGTGTCATGACTATTCTTGGGCCTTGCAGCAGTGGCAGCTCAAGAACTTCATTATCAGAATATGAACTTTTAGGTCATGTGAGGAACATTAAGTAGAATACATAGAAGTTGAGTCCAGGAGGGATAGATTTTCTATCAGCCATTGAATAGAGGAAAGTAGACGAAAACTTTTCCTGCTAGAATAGAAGATCCAAACACTGGATCTGGCTAGAGGATTAGCAGATATCACTATGAGGTTGCTTTTTCCAGCAACAGGAGGTTCAAATGCATTAGCAAAGGTTTAAAATATGAGACCCAATGGTACCTAATAGGGCAAAATATGAATGTCTGAAAAGAACTTTTGATACATCAAAATACTCTCTCTCACTGGTTGGTAGCTGGTAGAACATATATTTATGAAGTTTGGTTCGTAGTGGCGTCCTAACAAAATCCTAGCCTTTATAAGGACAGAGCAGCCTAGCATCACCAAAATTATTAAACAAAAGCGTATAAATAAATGCAAATGTTTCTGGATAAAGATACTGCTGAAATTTATAATCGCTAGAATATGCCTAATAAGTAATAATTTAAAGAATAATGCTATATATCACTTGTGATGTAGTGGTTCCCATATGTCACAATTGGTGGTCAATTATATATATTTTTTTGTGACCACCATTTGTGTGGGTGTCTCCTCCAATGCCACATAGACTAGTTTTTATCAACACTACTGATAAATAATATTACTGTAATTCAAAAAATTAAATCCTAGGAGTTCATTTCTTAACAGTGTTTTTTTACTCCTCTATTCTGTTCTTCAGTCTTTGATGCATTTGTTCTCCCTATAGAAAATTTCAGCTTGATGGAAAATCCCAAGCTTAATGTTGTCGGTCTTGAAAAAGGTTTGTGTTGAAATCACCCAGGAGTATTTAGCCTTGCAAGATGGTCCTTGCTGATTCACACGGGATTTCACGTGTCCCATGCTACTTGGGTCAGAGCGTAAGCTAGTAATGCTTTCGGTTACTGGACTTTCGCCATCTAGGGTATAGAAAATTTTAGCTTGATGGAATATCCCAAATCTAATGTTGTGGATCCTGAACAAGCCTTGTGTAGTAGTTGAAGAGTGGATTGCTGTCCCAGGTGGCAAATAGTGTAGGTGGTCATACCTGCTGACTTTTGAATTTTTAGGGCATTCATGATTGTCCCAGTATATCTAGGAGATGTCACTGGAACAACTTTGTATAAAACTTGTTCTCCTATTTTGAATTTATGGGGCATTCATGATTGTCCCAGTATATCTAAGAGACGTCACTGGAACAACTTTGTATAAAACTTGTTCTCCTGGTAGATCACCTGTTTAACATTGAAGAAGTAACTCAATCACAGTGACAATTTGGTTTTCTTAGCCCAACCAGGACATTGAGTATGGCCTTGCAAGTATATCTCTTCCACCTTACAGGATGTTTCAATTAAGTCTCTTTCAGCTCAATAATGCTTGAATCCGTTATGAAATGGTTTTTAAATGAGACCCAAGATGGAGCTTAAGAGGGGTAAAATGTGATATTGGAAAGAGATTTAATATCACTAAAATATTCTGCCTTCCACTGGTTAGTATTTAAATATAAGTTCCATTTTTCTGAAGCAGCTGCTCCCTGACAAAACCCTGATAAGGAATCATTAGCCTAGTGTCCCTAAAGCTTAATAAACAAAAGCATACCTATATAATGAAATTTAATAAAAGTATCTGAAAATATTCTAAGATATTGCTGAATTATAAAATATGGCAACACTCATAATAAATAAATAAATAAATAAACTCTAGGTCAATTTCTTTGTAGTCTTGGTAGTCTCTTCTTTGTAGACAACATATGGAAGGTGATTGTTTTAGAATAATTTGTTGAAGAACGGATATGATGGTAGAACCTGTTTCTGTAATTTCCTGTGCTGAGCAGCATGTTTTAGGCTAATAACATATTTGTTGATTGTTTTCTCAATTTTACATGAAATTCTAATTATGCATTTGCATTTATAGATAAATCTGTTATTCCAAAGTCGGTAAATGATATGAAACTTATACATGCTGGAAAAGTTTTGGACAAAGGCAAGACACTTGCTGAGTCCAGAATACATGGTGGTGATTTTCCACAAGGAATCATCACCATGCATGTTGTTGTACAGCCTCCTCCTGCAAAAAAGAAGACAGGTGTGTTCATATTCATTGTTTTGTATGTGAATTAGGCAATATTTTTAAAACACTGCATCCAATTCAATATGAGAAGATTCCTCAAACTATAATTTGCATTTTGTTTACTACATTCTCTGATATGATGTGACTTTGGTCATTTTGTTCAATTGGTGGAAAAGTAATCCTCGTACAAGGAAAACTCTTTCCCCTCATGTGGCAAAGTGTGCCAACTGCAAGCGTTGGAAGTTTGTTTAAACTGGACTTATTGACCATTTAACCTAGTTTTAAGGTAGCCAAAGTAAAGGGTGAATGAAGTATTTTTATCCACGGTTGGCGGGATGAGTACAGGCATTCTTTCTCTGATAATAGTAGTTCTTTGTTATACTAGAGCACTCAAAATATTTGCTGTTTTTGACCCAGGAGGTCCAGATTCTTAAAGATCAAATTTAAACTGCTTATAAGTCTGGTTGGTGGGTCATTTGAATTTGGTTGCAAAGGTTTACATTTTTTATGTTAGGCTATAGTATTTAGAACTTTCAAGGTGGATATATTTGGACAATAATGTGAATTTGGCTGTTTGTGCCATCAAATTAGCATCATGGTATCAAAGCCAATGAGACGCACATTGAAATTTTAAGAAAAATACAAAATTTACTTCTAAAGGTTGTCAAGCCTATTCCACATGAACTAGTGAAAGTTGCATTTAGATCCCTTGTTACTTACCTGATAGTCAAAAGTAAGGGGATAAAAGCGACAAAGATAAAGAAACATAAAACAACATAAAAAGCATTCATTAATTTTGAATTAAACCTTTCTGTGGCCTTTCTTTCTTAATCCAACTCTGACACAAAAATTCTTCACATGCTGTACTGAAAGCTGCACACAGTCTCTTGTCATCCCTGGTTATAGAAAGCAAGCGAAAACATGTCAAAACTGTTGAACAAAAAAATTGGCATTTGATCCAAACCCTTCTGTAGTTTTTCTATTCTTCCCAGTTCTAGCAAAGATTTCTCATTTCCCTAAGCATGTTTGGGTAAGCTTAAAAAATAAAAGTTAAATTCACATTTTGCCAATTATTTGCTTACAACGTGTTTTGATAACTTCTACATAAAACAGTTGCTTCTTTTAGAAGTAACTCATACCTTGGTTTCAAAATAAACTTATTTCCAACTTTTACTAATCAAAATAAATTATTTATTATTGACTTTGTTTACTTAAGTGTAATTAACTAGAAGTAAACTTTTAAAGATTAGGCAGACAATCTCTTGATAGTTTTTTATTTATTTATTATTTTTTTAATATATAACTATAAACAGTTCCAACAATGAAAATATATTGTTGACTATTTTATCCACATTCTGCATTTGAATAAAATATCAATTTTTCTACCTTAAATGGATATTTTGTTTTTAAGTAATTTCAATTCATTTGGATGACCTGATCATACTGGCAATGTGATGATTGGACTGCAGACTTGCTGAACTGTTGCAGTAACTGGAAATCCTAAAGAACATTCTTACGTTGTAACATAACAAAAGCACAGTAGACAAAATATGATATTTACTTGATTTAACAAATTAAAATTGAGTAGTGGTATCTCTTACTCTTTGTATGCTTACAAGCACAGGGCAATTTCACACTTTACTTGTAAGTCATGCCACAGTGTTGTAGAAGAGATTGCAATTTTCAATGGTTTATAGAATGCCAGAGATTAATTGTGGTTATGTCTTGCATTTCCTTACTTGTGACCTGCATTCCCTTCTGTGCTAGGGACAAAATTTCTTATACTCGAGAAGTTAATATATCGTACCGGTCTTTGGTGTTCATTCTATAGCTTTTCTCTTATAATGCATATGAAAATGTTTCCGAGAAAGGGTAGAAGAATGGGACCTATTATGGGACATACAGTTCATCACATACTCAAACATCATGTTTCAACTGGGTGTTCTAGTTGAACTCTGTTCTAGTTGAACTCTTGGAAAGAAAAGAACTTGGGTTGTAGCACTTAATAGCACATAGATGCATTTATCATGGTGATCCTCTACCTTTAGAAAATTAATTTCGTCAATATTCAAATTTGATTTGTGAGATTTTGACCAAGTGACTACATGATCTTGAGTTTTTAATAGCACTCAACAAAAAGGATAAAACCATTTTCTGATGCTGTTCTTGTGAAGGTTCTGAGCTAGTAAACTGGTAGTTTTAGTGGAAATAGGAAATCAATTAATAGAATATAATCAGCATGTATTTTCTTTTTGATACATTGGTTACATGAAACATTCTTTATAAAATTATGACGTTTTCATCATCTCATATGATGATCTTGCATTGTTATTTCCATCGTAGGATGTAAGTAGAGTGCTTTTCATTTATAACGATTGTGAGAGGATCCTACACTGAGCATTCTAATTTTGTGTTGTTTCGTGTGCAGATAGGAACCAGGAGAAAAAAAAGCAGAACCTATGTTCATGCAGCATCCTTTAGAACCAAAATCATGCTGTACAATACCATTTCTTTCTGATTGTACCTTTCTGTATGATGTTAAACATTTGAGACAGCCCGTCTTCGAAAAAAAGAATAAAAAAATCTGATTGGTATCTATAGTTTAGAAGGTCGAATTCTTCTAATTGCTTCTGTTTTCGTCGGGATTGTGATCGTTTTCTGACATTGGGAATTGAGATGTACACGGTTGATCCGTTAGGCACTGTCTATTATATACGTGTTAGACATTATTGCTTACTTTACCAAGTTGCCTAGCTGATCAAAACTTGACCAATGAATAATGTAGTTGCTTGAAGATGTTTTTTTGTGTTTGGAAATTGGTAGAATATAGATCTCTATTTATTGGGTACGGACTTAAATTCTCATATTTGAAATCATACGAAGACAAGTAGTTATCTATCAATTTCGTTAGTGGTGTTACTTGAAAGGTAGAGAATTTTCTTTTAAAAGTATAGTGGAGAAAACCCGATACTAATTTGGGTGCTCGTTCTTTGTTTAATGTTTCATGGAATTGAGCGATCTTTGAAGAATTAAGAATTCTACTGTTGATGTTATTACAAATCAATATCATTCGATAAACCTGCAAATTTGTCATTTTCTTCCCTATTTCGGATTCTAAAGTTGATTAAAATTCAAAGTTAAAGCATTTTCAATACAGGGTAATTAGCACAAAACATCCTTACCTTTCGATGTTTTTGTGAAAAACGTCCCTACCTTTCATTTTTTGGTGGATTATACCCCCACCCTTACCTTTTTTTGCGCAAAACGTCCTTATGTCAACTCTCCGTTAAAATGTTCCGTTAAAAAAAGATAATTAGCACAAAAGGTTCCTACCTTTCAAAGTTATTGTGCAAAACGTCACTACCTTTTAATTTTTATCAGAATTAGCACAAAAGGTCCCTACCTTTCAATATTATTGTGCAAAACGTCCTTACCTTTTATTTTTTGCATTTTCACCCCTACATTTCACCTTTCATTGCGCAAAAGGTCGTTTTCATCAATTTTTTCAATAAAATGACGATTTTACCTTCCTATTGAAATAAAACAAAAAGAAAAGAAAAAAATAATTAATTAATTGCAATCATAGTTCTAAATCTTTCAAAACATTACGGATAAATCATAAATTCTCCACTACCGTCACTTTGACAACCCCACCAAGCCATCACCTATAGATCCATATAGCACCACTTTTCGACCACAACACCTATCGGACTCCACCACCACTAGCCTCGCCTCACTCTTCCCAATATCCTCCTCCATAGTATTGGTCACCAATCTGTCCGAAACAACCACATTTATGGTGGTGGAGTCCGATGGGCATGGTGGCCGAAAGGTGGTGTTATGTGGATTTATAGTTGGCAACTTGATAGGTTGTGAAAGTGGTGGTGGTTGAGAATTTATGATTTCTTTGTAATTTTTTAAAAATTTAAGGACTATGGTTGCAATTGGTAATTCATCTTTTCTTTTTGTTTTATTTGAATAGGAGTGTAAAATCGTCATTTTATTGAAAAAAAGGATGAGAAGGACTTTTTTTCCAATGAAAGGTGAAAGGTAGAGGTGAAAATACTAAAAAATGAAAGGTATGGACGTTTTGCACAATAACATTGAAAGGTAGGGACCTTTTGTGCTAATTATGCCAAAAAATGAAAGACAGGGATGTTTTGTACAATAATATTGAAAGGTAGTGACCTTTTGTGCTAATTACCTTTTGATTTAACGGAACATTTTAATGGAAAGTTGACAAAAGGACGTTTTACGCAAAAAAGGGTAAAGGTGAGGGTGTAATCCACCAAAAAATGAAAGGTAGGGATGTTTTCCACAAAAACATCGAAAGGTAGGGACGTTTTGTGCTAATTACCCTTCAATACATTTTATGTTGGCCTTGTTTGATAGGCTCACATTTTCCATAGAAAATGGAAAATCAATAACATTTTCCAACTTTTCATGTGTTTCATAGATGAAATTTTTCATGGAAAACGAATTTCAGATTTTCATGCCACATGGACATTTTTTCATGTTTTGGAGGAATTTGAATTCTCACTTCTTTTTCCGGTTTACTGTAGCTTTTTTTTTTCGTTTATTTTTTTATTTTTATTTTTTGTTGGCAATGAAAAGAAATTCTAAGAATTATTGTAAAAAAATATTTCCCTTTAATTGACAATTTTCATGTAAAACAAAGTAAAACGAACATTAAAAGATAGATGATTTTTATGGATTTTTTTTGGGCAATGGAAACAAATTTCATACCCAATACCAATAAAATATATCCTTTTAATTGACAATTTTTATGTAAAACAAAGTCAAACGAACATAAAAAAATACTTTTATTTTAACATTTTTCACATGAAAAATTATACCAATCAAATACAATAACTTATAATTCCCAAGAAAACAATTTCTAGGCAATTCAGTTTCTTGGAATTCTTTTTCTTTTCATCCAAATTTTATCTTCGCAATCAAACGGGCCCGTAGGGTAATTAGTACAAAAGGTTTCTACCTTTCAATGTTATTGTGCAAAATGTCCATACTTTTCATTTTTTTCGTATTTTCTCTCTTACTTTTCACATTTCATTGTACAAAATGTCATTTTTATTTATTTTTTCAATAAAATAATGATTTTACCCTCATATTTAAATAAAACAAAAAGAAAATAAAAATAATAACTAATTGCAATTATAGTTCTAAATTTTTCAAAAACATTACTGATAAATCCTAAATTCTCCACTACCACTACTTTCATAGCCCTACCAAGCCGTTACCTATAGATCCACATAGCACTATCTTCCGACCACAACAACCGTCGGACTCGCCTCACTCTCCCCAACATCCTCATCCACAGTATTGGCCACCAATCTGTTCGAAACAATCACATTTACAGTCCAAAATATCAAACTGTCGTATACAACCCGTCACAATAATTCCACTTTCGATGCCACCCACTGTCGTGGACTACCACCGACAGTTATCCCTCGCCTTGACGAACCTACACATGGCCTCACATTAATCAAAACTACCTCAAATCATTTTGTTGTAATTCTAGAACATTCTGCAATGGCAATGGCCATTTTACCAAACTCTTCTCCTTCAATTGATGCATCCCACAACATTAAATCCCCGAATTAGCATCAATCGTACCATCAACAAATCCAAACGAAAATGGGTGTGAATATAATTGAACGAATTATCCCCTCAACAGTTTTAAATTCTAGTCCAAAACTCTCTACGGGTGCAATGCACGGCGAGCGTTGTCTGACCAAAATTGGTGGGTCCTAAGTGCTCCAATCTTTCAAATTCGTGTGTGGGAGGAGGTGGGGAAGTGAGGCAAGGTTGGTGGTGGTGAAGTCTGGTGGGCATGGTGGCCGAAAGGTGGTGCTATGTGGATCTATAGGTGACAGCTTGGTAAGTTGTGAAAGTGATGGTTGTGAAGAATTTATGATTTTTTTGTAATTTTTTAAAAACTTAAGAACTAGTTGCAGTTGGTAATTCATCTTTTCGTTTTGTTTTATTTGAATATAGGGTAAAATCATCATTTTATTGGAAAAATGAAAAAATGGCTGAAAATGACCTTTTGCGCAATCAAATGTGAAAGGTAGAGGTAAAAATGTAAAAAAAAAAAATGAAAGATGGGGACATTTTGCACAATAATATTGAAAGTTGGGAACCTTTTATACTAATTATCCTTCTATGTATTATTATTTAGGATGGCATGCAACTTGAAAGGCTTTGGATTTATATGGCATTGCTATCTAATAGATACTCAAGTCCAAAATTGATTATCAACAAGCTGTGATTATTAAGAATATGTTTTGTCCCTCCCCCCTAAAATAAAAACAAAATTTTATCTACATCTAAATCTAGATATGAAATATAAATCTAGTGAAGAGAATATAATTTTTCTAAGTCGACATGTTTAAATTTATGCAAAGGAATATATTATGTCTATTTTTTCCTTTATCACATCAGCTTGATAGAGTTCTTCGTACATTTTATTTGAAATGACTTTTTTAACACATTGTTTAATTCATGTGACAAATTTTTGATGTGTTCCATGGAAGCATTAGAGATGCCCTTACAATCCCACGATTACCACTCTTCTTTCCCAAGAATCGATTGTAAGTGAAAAAATGATCGCATAATTCAAAAAATGGTTTGTATTTTGCAGTAAAATTTGCCATTTTCAAATTTAAACATAGCATGTTACATTGTCTTTAAAATAACTATAACCCACTATGTTACATCTTATGTAAACCTAGAAATGACACCTATAGAATAGACGGTTTCTTGTCTAGTGATATTTAAATAAATTAAACTTTGAACACATGGTCAAAAGCTTCTAGCATCTTGCAAAAACTTTCCTTCTTTTTTTGTTTTTTGTTTTTTGTTTTTATCAAAACTTGAGATGTGTCTCCATCGAAGTAGTAATTTCTTTTTGACTCCCCCATTTCAAACCGCTCCAACAGGCATATGTTCTTTGAGATATAAAAAAACCATGATATGATTTCTCCACTTCTGAGCGAAGAAATCATCAAATTTCACCAAAACATTTCATTACGAATCGAATTGGCAAATCATTTCTCAAGCGATAAATATTTCAATCCTTTCTTAATTGATTCTAATTTTACAAACAAATTAGAATCTGACTTAGAAACTTTAAATCCACTAAAGAAGTATTGAGCAACTTTACCATACCAAGCATGTGGTGCTTCTTTAAAGCTATACAACACCTTCAACCGACAAGCATAATTGGGAAATTGCTAGGAGATGAGTCATTGGGCTTGTTCCATCTATACTTTGCAATCCAATTCGTTGTAAATAAATGCATTATTTACATCAAGTTGTCATAGCTTCCAACTTCTATAAGCAGCAACTTGGCCCATGTATTGGATTGGACTTGGCCCACTCTTATACTTAATATTACCTACATATTGTTGCCTTCTTTGTTCTTGATATTCAAGCGTGTTTTGATCTTTGCTTGTGAAAAAAACGAATGCCTCTTCTCTGTGATTGTGTCTATTGTCTTTCTTCTTCATCCTAGCCTTTGTGGCAGGAAAACAACTTTCCTTTTGTATCCCAATTGGGTACAATCAAAAGCAATTAGAGTGTGGAATAATTGAAGGTTTCGGTCAAGATTTTGGGTATTTGACTTGGTTTAGGACTATGACTGAGCTCGAATATACACCTTGTGGGCAATTCTTCCTCAATAATTGGTATCAAAGCTACTTTGGTGGTGGATTTTAAACTAAAAACAGACCCATAATTCAACAGACTCAAGCAGAAACAAGAATGGAAGAAAGTTGTCCAATTTTGTGCAGAAATCGGACCTACAACCTTGTTTTCCGGCCAATCCAG